AAGGATAAGTAACTAAAAGCCTTTCTGTGTTCAGGACATTGATAGTGTTTTTCAGCAATATGAGTACTATATGTGCATTGAGCTGTGAGAGCCAAACAGAGCTTTTTCCACACCCTCATATTCATAGCGTTTCTCACCAGTATGAATTCTCTGATGCCTTGTAAAGAGTGAAACAGAACCAAAGGCCTTTCCACATTCTTCACATTCATAGGATCTTTCCCCACTATGAGTTCTCTGATGTTGAGGAGGATTGGGACCGTGATGGAAAGCCTTCCCACGCTGCTGACCTTCGTAAGATTTCTCACCAGTATGAATTTTCTGATGACTAAGAAGAGATTTCTTCTGCCCAGAACCTTCTTTACATTCATTGCACACGGAGGGTCTACTTCCAGGCGGAATTTTATGAAGAAGGTTATGGGATGTTTGCTGCCTCAGAGTGTGTATTTCTTCATGGGTGATTATGACTTGATTGATTGGAACTTCCTTTCTCATTTCCGTGATATGTCTCAAATGTGCCTTTACATTCCCAGTCATCTTGGAAACTGGAATTCTCAGGATCTTTGTTTGTAAAGTTTTCTGTTTTCTCCCATTCGGACACCTAATCTGAAAGATAATGAAAAAGCAGAGATGCTTGTTTTAGTCCAAGGTCAGTTAGAGCTTCTTTAGTAGAAATAGTTTGAAACTGAAAAGAATGCTTATGAAGAAAGCACTCTCCCAAACAGGAATCCAGGAATTCCTGTTCTCCAAAATCCCCAGAGTACCTGCTTCAGCAGGAAGGATCCAGCCAATCAGCGATTCATGTCTGAAACATTGATGGGGACAGTAGATGGGCTACTATCAAAAAGTGGAGGTAGTGACGGTGAGCCGGCCTTTTCTCTGGAATTCCGTGTCCAGGCATTTCTGGCAGCAGTGGCGGTGGTTTCCTCGTCTTGGTCTCTGAGCCCAGATCACGGCCGAGGCAGTATGTACTTGGAGGCGCGTCTCTGCCCTAGTGGGGCTGAGGCGGCACCGCTTCTGGCGACTTGCTGTCGCCACATTAGAGGAGGCACTTCCGGAGACCTGCCTTAGAGCCAGCTCCCACAACCCTTCTAACAGTTTTATAAGCACCCATTTCCCATGTATTTTTTAAAAATTTATTTATTTTAATTGGAGGCTAATTACTTTGCAATATTGTATTGGTTTTGCCATACATTGACATGAATCCGCCATGGGTGTACATGTATTCCCTATCCCGAACCCCCTTTCCACCTCCGTCCCCATCTCATCCCTCTGGGTCATCCTAGTGCACAAGCCCGGAGCACCCTGTATCATGCATCAAACCTCGACTGCCGATTCGTTTCACCTATGATAATCACTTCCCATATTTTGAATCTTTAAATATAATCTTAATACTGACCTTAAGAAATTGGGGAAAAAAAAAACAAAACAACAACCCAGCATTTCAGGAGAAGATAAGCCAGGTTATTAGGAGCAACCCTTCCACTGAAAATGTGTTTTAAAAAGAAAACTTACACCCAAAAATCTTTGTCAAAAGTTAGGGGAAAAAAATAGCCCAGAGTTAAAAGGCAAAAGTCTAAGGAAACTTGAGCTCCAAGGCTCAGAGTACTGAAGCTAGTTTGCCCTGAGTACCAGCCCTAATTTTGTTCAGATGATCCCCTGTGTATATGTGTGTCTTTTTTCCCCAAACACGTCACCTGGTGTCTTGGTGCATTTGGGCTGCTAGAACAAAATATTAATACCACATACTGGGTCGCTTATAAACAACAAATTTCTCACAGTTCTGGAAGCTGGGAAGAATTCTGAGATCAAGGTGCTGACACTCAAGTGTCCAGGAAATAAATTCTTATATTGAGCCACCATATTTTGGGGTCTGATAACAGCAGCTTAGCTTAAGCCCTAAGACAAAGTCAGTGTAAAATCATATGTGAAAGGAGCCTCATTTTCTCTGTAAACCTTTTGAGAAAAAAGTTTAGAAGGCAAAACTCTGGAAGCCAATCAGGTGAGCTCCCCCTGCCCCCCACAATGACTCACCTCTTAGGGCTGCTGTCTCTTCACCACCAACAGTTACTCCCTTTTTTGCAACAATCAGTCACACTTGACTTAGAATTGCGAAACTTTCCATGTGAAAAGGAAATGGAATTGCAATTGTATTGTGCAACTGCTGTCCAAATGCCCAGTCCCTTAAGGGGACATTGACAGAAGAAGGTGAAGAGCATGGCCAGACAAATCAGGAAGGTGAGGTTTCAGAAGTGACTCAGACCTGTTTCCAGCTTTACAAGGCTCAAACTGTTGCTTCTGAAATCCAACTCTTCAGCGGTTCCCTGGAAAGTCAGGTTGGTGGAATCATGATGCTTAGATGGTAGGTAGTGAGTTTTGAGATTTGAGAGTGAAATCTTAACCCGCAGCTGAGATGCCTGTCCGCCCGTTTGCACACGCCCCTCCCGGTGGATATGTGTGGGAGGAGGAGGGGGTTGGCCACCCATGCATGCTTGGCTCCCGTGGACACGAGGGCTGCATCTTTGGGGCTATCCCGGCATGAAAAACTACGAGCTGAGTGACCACACGACCCTGAGCCGAAGGGTGAATCTGCTACATAAAGGGAGGGGCACTGTAAAGAAAACTGCTCAGGGTTAACTGAGTTAAATTATGTAAAGTGCTTACTACCTTATAGTGCCAGTATATATATAACATACGCTGTTATGTTACAGTGCTATACACACACACATCTTCCTCAATTTACTATGGGATTATATAGCCTGATAAACCCACTGTAAGTTAAAAATATTTAGTCGAAAAAGCATTGAATAATACTTAACCTACTGAACGTCATAGCTTAGCTTCACCTTAAACATGCACAGACCACCTACATTAGCCTACAGTCGAGCACAGTCATCTAACAAAGCCTATTTTATACTGAAGAATATCTCATGTAACTCACTGACTACTGTACTGAAAGTGGAGATCAGAATGGTTCTAAGTGTATCTGTTGCTTGCTTTTCTGATCTCCTGGCTGTCTGAGATAGCTTGCTGACGCTGGAGCTTCTTGCTGTTGCCCAGCATCATGAGAGCCTCATACAGTACATCGCTAGCTCAGAAAAGGGTCAAAATTTAAAACTTAAGAACAGTTACTACTGAATGAATATCACGTTCAGTTCAGTCGCTCAGTCAAGTCTGACTCAGGCCTCCCTGTCCATCACCAACTCCCAGAGCTTGCTCAGATTCGTGTCCATTGAGTTGGTGATGCCATCCAGACATCTCATCCTCTGTTGTCCCCTTTTCCTCCTGCCTTCAACCTTTCCCAGCATCAGAGTCTTTGGGTTTGCATCAGGTGGCCAAAGTATTGGAGTTTCAGCTTCAGCACCAGTCCTTCCAATGAATATTCAGGACTGATCTCCTTTAGGATGGACTGGTTGGATCTCCTTGCAGTCCAAGGGACGCTCAAGTCTTCTCCAACACCACAGTTCAAAAGCATCAATACTAAGGCGCTCAGCTTTCTTTATGGTCCAACTCTCACACCCATACATGACCACTGGAAAAACCATAGCTTTCACTCGATGGACCTTTGTTGGGAAAGTAATGTCTCTGCTTTTTAATATGCTGTCTAGGTCGGTCATAACTTTTTCAAGGAGCAAGCTTCTTTTAATTTCATGGCTGCAGTCACCATCTGCAGCGATTTTGGAGCCCCCCCAAAATGAAGTCTGTCAGTGTTTACACTGTTCCCCCATCTATTTGCCGTGAAGTGTTGGGACCGGATGCCTTGAGGCACTCCTTTCCAATTTGGAACCAGTCTGTTGTTTCGTGTGAGGTTCTAACTCTTGCTTCCTGACCTGTAGATTTCTCGGGAGGCAGGTAAGGTGGTCTGCTATTCCCATCTCTTGAAGAATATTACATTCAAGCCACTGTAAAGTGAAAAAAATCCTGAAATGGACCCTCCTAAGTTGTGGGCTATCTATACATAGAGAGAGATATCTGTATCTACATATAGCTCTATCAGATCTGTTTATCTCGATGTCAGTCAGCGACAGCCTTTCTCTAAACACACAGAGACTTTCTCCTTGAACTAACTAGATAGGCTTCTCCAAGCCCTCAAGGCTCCAATCTCGGGCTCTGTTCTAACCCACTGAGTCCAGTTTTACAAGAATTCTGCTGGGTCAGTTTATCAAGACTCCTCACTCCTACCCCAATCCTTAACATCTTTTCACTCTTGACAGCCTTCAGCAAGAATCCTATTAAGTCCATTTAGCCAGATTCTCCCTCTTATCTTCGATGATTTGTTAACTGCACATCCAGTGATTCCCCACCTTGCTCCTTGACTATAAATCCCCATTTGTTATATTTGGAATGGAGCCCAGTTTTGGACAAAGACCTCCGGCCCTGTGGCAATAATTCCTGAGTAAAATTTGCCTTGAGAAGCTTTAGATTCTATCCAGTTCTGGTTTTCTTTGAGAATATTTTGGGGAAGGCTCAGATACCGTGGAGAATCCACACAATTATAGTCTTCCTAGGGAAAACGCAAATTGAAAAAAAAAAAAAGAAAAATTGCCCACAGCCATAAGTGGTTTCTGGGGTCTATAGATCCTATGTTAAGAATCTTTAAGAAGGCTGGGATCCGTTTGGGGCTGGACACGGGCCCCGCTGCCATGGTTACTGAGAAATGTAGTCCCGAGGCAGAAGAGCTAAGACTTGGTCATCCCTCACCTCCCCCGAAAGGCCAGATACCCTCCCCGCAACCCACAAAGAGCCCTGATACAGCCCCGGGCTGAGCGGAACGTTGACTCGCACACGCGCAAACAATCGCTCTGAGACAAAAGCAAGCGAGGGTTCCTACTAAGTTACAGCCTCCTTCGAAACTCCGAGGCATTCGGTCTTCTCTGCCTGGCAACACCGAGATTCCCAAAGAGTGGTCCCACCGCAGGGCCTTCTGGGAAATGTAGTCCGGAGCCGGAGGCGGGGGGGGGGGCGGTCTCCCGAGGAATGCTGGGAAGACGAAGCCGGGCGATGATTGGACCCCGGCCGCAGCGGCTTCTGGGAGTGCAGTTCGGGGTCTCGCTCTAGTTAGGCCGGAACACGGCTTAGCAGCTCCTCAACCTTGGCGTTGTCCGACAGCCCAGAACCAAACCTTCCTCGGTAAGTTGTGCCTGTGGGCCATGACCTGTTCGTGCGACCTGCTCCGCGGTCGGACCTGAGATGGCGCCAGTGACTGTGGGTGGGAAGAGGCAGGTGACCTGCAGCTGTGTGAACGGACGGGTGGGATTCTGCGACGCGGTGCGTGACTGTGCGAGGGGGGTGTTGTATGTGAGGTGTTTTTGTGGGTGACCACAGGTCTTAGAATGTGTAGCTTGGGTTATGTGTGACTCAACCTTCAGTCTTACTGTATCAGTGTGACCGGAGTTGTTCAGAAACTGTGTTAGACTTAAGATAATGGCATGAGTGGGGGTTTCTCTTTGGTCGCCTGTGGGATTGTGATAGTAAAGCCTTCCTTGGTGGCTCAGACGTTAAAGAATCTGCCTGCAGTGCAGGAGACCAGGGTTCGGCCCTGGAGAAGGGAATAGCTGTCCATACCAGGATTGATAGCTGTTTTCCAGTTTTCTTCCCCATTTATAAATAGGGTACTAATTCCACATCTCTTATTACCCTGAAATTCTGCAGCAAAGCACAAACAACATAAAACATGATACAGACATGACTTAGAGAAGCTCAGAATTATTACAGCGAACAATTCAAAATAAGCCCACAATGTTAAAACATGAAGATGGGATTCCTTATTATGGTGCAGCCCGTCTTGGCTCTGTCCCAAACATTACAGTTCGTCATTCATTTCCTTTTGCTGATTGGAATGTGGCTGCAGAAATTCAGGAGGCCTTGGGCTGCAGATTTAGTTTTACCATCCTGAAGTACGGATCTAAGGTACGCCTGACCTGCTCTGCCCACTCTCCGAGGAAAGACGCTTTCCCTCAGAAGGTCTCAAAGCTCGTCCAAGGCATCAGTTTTTCCCTGAACCGGACCCAGAGTTTCTATCCCTTATATAGTATTGTTTTCATCTGACCTCGTGGTTTCTGCATATCTTTTTACATCTTCAAGCTTTTGAATCATGAGGAAATAATCCTTATTTTAAATAGTAAAGACTTTAAAATAGAAATAAAAAATTGGGAAGTACTAATTTAGAAGAAAATTATCTTGGGCTTAAAAAAAAACAAAAGACATGAGGTTAGCTAAACACATCCCATTAAGTTCCTGAATTCTGCAGATAGAAACTCTTGCCAAATACTGGGACAGAAGCAGTTGCTGTGGTAGGCAGAATATGGCCCTGCAAAGATGTACAGTCCGAAGTCCCACGAATCTGTGGGTATGTTGTTACATGGCAAGAGGGAATTGAGTTGCAGACAGAACTAACGCTGTTACTCAGCGGACCTCAAGACAGGTTTTTGCTTCCCAGGTGCCTCAGTGGTAAAGATCTGCCTGCAATGCAGGAGACACAGGTTTGACCCCTGGATGGAGATCCCCTGGAGAAGGAAAGGGCAACCCACTCCAGTATTCTTGCCTGGGAAATCCCACGGACTGAGGAGTCTGGCAGGCTATAGTCCACGGGGTTGCAAGAGTTGGACACGACTTAGCGACCAAACAAGACAAGTTTATTCTGGGTTGTCCAGATAAGCTCAGTATAGTCAGAAAGGTCCTTTAAAGGTGAAAGCGGGAGGCAGAAGAGACAGTGTCAGAATGATGCATCGTGAGAAAGACTCCCTAGGCTACTGCTAGCTGTGAAGACGGTAAGGGCCACACCAAGGAAGATGGGTGGCCACCAGAATCTGAAAAGGCTAGGAAGTCGATTGGTCTAATGAGCCTCCAGAAGAGAACACAGCCCTGTCCGGACCTTGAATTTGGTCTGGGGAGACCTATTTCAGACTTTTGACTTCCAGGTAATAAATAGGTGTTGTTTTAGGCCACCAAGTTTTGACCATTTGTTACAGCAGCAACAGGAAATAAATACATCCCCATAAGCTAAGAAAAACAGGCTAGAATATGGGTTCCCCTTCTGGAAGATCAAAAGCCAGAATTAAGTGACATCTCTGGATTACTGAGAAAAAAAAACTGTAAGAACATTTCACCAAACAAAAATATAATTTGTGCAGGACATAGATTCAGAGAATACCAGCTATATAACATTTATTGAGATAAATACAATACTCAATAAAATAGTCTAACCAAATTGCATCTGAAATAAAACCATTACCTCAAGGCAGGAGAAAACAGTAATTAAAAAAGAAAACAAACAGTGGCTAGCAATGAATGTTACTTTGAATACTCTTAAGTTTAAATGGAAATCATGAATGGCTCTGGTAATATAAGCATATAAGCATCAAATAAGAGTAAAACCAAAAGCTTTGGACTGTGGGTTTTCATTAGGTTAGTGCAATGGAGAAAATGTTAAAGAATAGGCTGTGAAGGAGGGGAAAGAGAAAGGAATGATGGTCTCTTGGAGGAAAGTAGCAAAGAAAACTAATAGTGGGTTAGAAAGTATAATAGTGCTCTCATTCTGCCCAACAGTGATGAAGAATGGGGAAATAATTACTATGCTAAGCACAGTGGGAAGTTTCAATTTAGCAGGAGAAATAAGGAAAGGAAAAGGCCAAGAAAACATAAATAGTACACACCAAGTAAAATGAAAGGAATATGATGGTTATTACACTAAATAAAAATATGAATTTCCTTATAGAAAAAGAAAATTGTAATTTTGAGTTATTTTAAAAATCCTTTTTTTAATAACTAAAATGACAGAAGTTGAAAATAAATGGGTGGACAAAAACATACCAGGTAAACAAGGATAAGTTATTAGTAGTGTTACACAGAATGGAAACAAAACACCAAAAGGATTATACTAGGCCAAGGTTAGCAAACTTCTTATCTAGAGGGCCAGACACGAAATAAAAAGATATTATGGCCATAGATCTTGTTGCAGCCACTATCACTGTTGTAGATAGCATATAAATGAGCATGTCTGTGTTCCAATAAAACTTTATGTATAAAACAGGCAGCAGGCTAGATTTGGTTTGTTGATCCCTATACGTGGCAGAGTAGGATAGTGATAAAAGTATGATTCATAAATAGGAATTAAGTTATATTTCTTTATAGATCAAACAATTAAAAAGTAAAAAATCTCTGGAAATTCAAGACTGGCTAAAAAATTCAATTTTAGAAAATTCTAAACCAGAAAAAATTCTAATCTATACCAAATTATATTAGAATGTGGAGAACTGGCTTAAATAGAATCTTGTATCTAAAAAAGAATATATATTCTTTTTCAGTATAATGGAACATATACAAAAATCAGTCCTGTACTCAGCCACAAAGAAAAATGTCTAACTCAAAAAAGTACATACTTTCAGGCCACCTTTACCAGTCATAATAAAGTAAAATTTGAAGTTGATAATTTAGAATGCTTTCAGCTGCAAGTTTACAAAATATTCAACTGAAAGTAACTTAGGCAGTAGAGATTTATTTTTCTTATATGACAAAAGCATCAGAGACAGTTCCCAACTGGCCCTGTAACTCCGTGTTCACGGTCAGGGTTCTGGGTCAGCTTCTTTGAGGCTCTCTCTTTTCTGCTCTTGGTTCCAAGATGACTGCAGCAGCTCCAGGCATCAGGTTCTCAGAAAAAAAGTTTAAAAGCAAGAAATGAAAGAGGGAGTCTTCCTAATATGTCTGTCTCTTCTGAATAAGGAAGATCTTTCTCTGAAGACCCTGTAGATCCTTAGAATATACTGGCCATACACCGGAACGGATGGGCCATCTTGAGCTGCAGAGGAGGCTGAAAGTTGGCATCTGACATCTTCAGATTCTAAGACAAGACACATGCTGCCAATAGAATGGGAATTGAATGTGGCTGCTAGGTAGGCAAGCAACCTGTTCTGTCTGTGACAAGTTATAAAAGATAATACAAACAAACAACCTGAAAATTAAGGAACAGTCTCCTAAACTTAATTACCCTTGGATCAGAGAGAGATAAAGCATGAGATGATTGTAGGATGTGTGCTTAGTGGCTCAGTCGTGTCCGACTCTCTGTGACCCTATGGACTGTTAGCACATCAGGCTCCTCTGTCCATGGGATTATCCCGACAAGAATGCTGGAGCCAGCTGCCATTTCTTCTTCCAGGAGATCTTCCCGACTCAGGGATAGAACCTGAGTCTCCTGCAGCTCCTGCATTGGTAGGTTGATTCTTTACCACTGAGCCACCTAGGAAGCCTTAGGAGAGAAAGTAGGAGAGCTACTTTCTGTATCATCATTTTCTGCCTTTCTTTCCTATTTATCATCAGGGTGTTTGGTATTCTCTTTTCTGGCTTCTTAAGTAGTACATTTAATATATTTGAGTTCTGTCTTTCAGGTTTTCATGTTTGCATGCACTTAAAGGCATAAAAAAATTCCCAAGTAGCTTCAGCCACATCCCACATTTCTTGGCATGTAAAACTCTCCTTCTCATTGTTCTCATTACTATCAGTGGTAACTGCATGATATGGTTTCTTGTTAACCCAGGAATAATTTGCAATGTTTTCTTTTTGAATTTTCAAGAAAATTCACTTTTGGCTGTTGTTAAAATTATTACACTGTGGTGAGAAAATGTAACTTTGAAGTGTGTTAGAGAGAAAATTTTCTCCAACCTTATATAATTTTTCTTCAATATGAATTTTATTCCTCAGGATAAAAGAAAGCTCTGAATAAAGGAACTCACTTGCATGACATCCTTCAAGTCTTTCTCCAAGATATAAAGAGTAAGTTGTGATTAGCCTAAGCTAATGGACTCTTCCCATTATTTCCATTCATATGATTGCTTGCTAACATAAATTCTCTGATGATTAATAAAGGATAAGTGCTGATGGAAGGCTTTTCTACATTTATTAAATTCACTTGTGTTTGTCTGTTATGCATTCTCTGATGTTGAACGGCAGCTGAATCATGATTTAAAGTCCTCCCATGTTCCTTATATTCATAGGGTTTTTCCTCAGTATGAATTACCTGATGTTGAATCAGTTGTGAGCAGTGGCTGAAGGCTTTCCCACATTCCCTACATTCATATGGCTTTTCACCTGTGTGGATTCTGTAATGTACAGTAAGATGAGAGACCCGTTTGAAAGCCCTACCACATACCTTACATTGGTAGGGTTTCTCTCCTGTGTGAATTCTCTGATGTTGCTTAAGTTGTGAGCTCACCCTAAAGGCCCTCCCACATGCCTTACATTCATAGGGTTTCTCACCAGTATGAATTCTCTGATGTCGAATAAGAGTTGAGCCTTGATTAAAGGCCTTCCCACATTCTTTACATTCATAGAGTTTCTTGCCGGTGTGAATAGTCTGATGTTGAATCAGCTGAGAACGATGACTAAAGGTTTTCCCGCATTCCTTGCATGCATAGGGTTTTTCACCAGTATGAATTCTATAATGCACTTTAAGATGTGAGATCCGATTGAAAGCCTTGCCACAGTCCTTACACTGATAGGGTTTCTCACCAGTATGAATTCGTTGATGTTCAATCAGCTGTGAGCTTCGACTAAAGGCCTTTGCACAATCCTTACATTCATAAGGTTTCTCACCAGTATGAACTCGCTGATGTTGTATGAAATTTGAACCAGAATTGAAGGCCTTCCCACATTCCTTACATTCATACGGTTTTTTGCCAGAATGAATATTCTCATGTTGAATTAGTCGTGAACCATATTTAAAGGCCTTCCCACATTCCTTGCATTTATAGGGTTTCTCATTAGTCTGAATCTCTTGATGATTAATAAAGAAGTCCTCTTGCCAGAAGTCTTTTGTACATTCATTATATCCATAGGGTTTTTCTCCGGTATGAATTTCCTGATAAAAAGTAAGGGGTGCTGGCTGGTCAAAAGTGGGTATTTCTTCATTATCGATTATCATTTGACTCAGATGTCCATCTGGATTTTCCTCTTCCCTGTCAGAATGACTTCTGCATTCCCAATCATCTTGGAAACTTGAGCACTCAAGACCATAATTTGTAAGGCTTTTCATTATCTTCCACGGGGGTGGTTGTACTTCATAACTGTGCTGCTTTGGAGAGAATACTGTAGCATCATATCTGGACTTCAGTACTGAAAAAGAACAAAACAAGTAGGTGTTTGTTTTTTCCTTTTCCAGAAAAAAGAACTTTTGTAGTAAACACTGGAAAGTTGAGACTCAAAATAATATCTGTATGCTCTTGAATGTGATTAAGAAATTAGAAAATGGACAAGTAGAGAAAGAGGAAATACCATAAATTGAGGTGAATGAGGTAATCAGAGAAATCATTAAGAGTCGTTCTAAAATGTTAATGTGGAGCAGAATCACTGCAGAACCATGGTTTTAAAAAATGAATGTTTCTGTGAAACCCTAGAAAAGACAAATATAAGAGTAACAGAAAGCAAATCATTTGTTGCTTGTGGCTAGGGGGTATGAACGATTGTGTGGGAAGGAGCACAAGGGAACTTTTCAGGGTGATGAAAATTTATCTTGTCTGTGGTACTGGTCATAAAAGTGTACACCTTTGTCATTAGTCATTAAAATATGCTTAAAATGCAGGCATTTAATTTACTATAAATTGTACCTCAATAAAGTGGATTTTTAAAAACGATAAGGAGGGTTGACTAGATACTTCTCTGGCCAGAGGAGTGAGATGGTGCATCTGCTTGATGGGGGTGTGGTGGTAGAGCAGGACTGTTTTCACACACCCACTGGAAGCTGTAATAACAGCTGTGGTCTTCTGCTCTGGCGCTTTCTGTCTCTGATGTTTAGCTGAACACAATGGCTAGAGCTAATGGCAGCTGGACCAGTCTCTCCTGGACTTTCCTGTTGCCTAAAAGTGACCTGGGAAAAAGGAGGGCCTCGTTCCTTGTTTGGAAGATTAGGCCCAAATTGAATGGGGGTGGCCTCTTCCAGAGCATATTCTTTGCTGGTCATTCAAACTGCAGGGAGGGCTGACTGGTGCTGCTGAACTTGACTCATGTACCTGGTACATGACTTCTACTGCAGTGGCCCGTTTTACTGCAGTCATGGAAATCAGTCCCGTTTGGCTCGTAAAGAATTGGTTGCTGCTTCATGCAGGGGACTATGGGGAAAGTAAATGGGTGCTTTTGAACATGTTCATAAAGTATATGAGAAGGCCAAAGAGAACTTTACAGGGGGCATGTCTACTTCTTATGGTAGCATATCAGAGACTACTATTCATTTGTTTTTTGTGTGAAATTATTAGGCAAAAACTACTGGAGTAACAAATTACTTTGACAATACAGATGAGAAGTCTGTAAAAGAAGTATCAATTTTGTGGGAATGATGCTGTCACCTCAAAAATTTGTACCACAACCACAGGGTATGCATACACATGAAGTTGTAATTACAAGACTATGCGCAAAGATCATACACCGTGTTTCGTTGTTCAAGAGGGAAGCTCTCTTTATGGGTCTCTGTACTGCGGTCTAACAGCTGTGGGAAGGCAGATTCTAAACACTGCCATTGTAATGACCACCTATGCATCCGTCGTCCGTCTACGGAGCGGTCAGCAGCATCTGGCTGCCATCATATAAAGAAGGGCAAGCAAAAGACTGCAGTGGGCCATGGAATATTAAAGCCAGCCTGGTGGACAGAAGAAAATGAGTTTGGGATCATGTAACTATGCCCAAGTGGAAGTCTGGTTTTAGGAATTAAAGTGATCACACATTATTGGTGTTTTGGGCAATGTGGGAAAAAACAAAAACAGAACAGCTGTCTCTAAGCATATGCCACTAAAAGCACGCCTCTCTCCAAACCGCTGCATATTCTGTCAAGACATCTGACAGTTTAGTTCTGTTGACTGATGACAGTCAGAGTACAGTGTTTATTCCATGAGCACTTTTGCACTTATCTAAATTAAGCCATCTCTAATCATATATTGTGAAATAACTTTACAAAGGTAGTACTGATTTTCTAACTTTTAGTTTCTCTTCTCCTTGTAAAGTTGGAAAATAGCAAAAATAATAGTGAGGTCCTCCGTATTATTTTTACATTTTCCTGACAAGATCTGATACAGTTTTTTAATTTAGCATCAGTAGATGCTGTTTTTGACAACCGATGAGGTAATGTCTAAAAATCTCATGGACAGTCTTAGCAGGTTTTGTTTTGGTTGGTTTTTTCATATGGAATCTTAAAGGATCCCAAGTGGCCAAAACAATCTTGAAAAGGAAGAACAATGGAGGCCTCTCTCACTTGTGATTTCAAAACATGTTAAAAGAGCTGCAGTAATCAAAACTATGGAACTACCATAAAGGAAAATATTTATCCAGTGGAACACAACAGGGACAGCAGAAATAAACTCTTATACATATGGTCAAATGATCTTCAACAGGGGTGCCAAGACCACACAGTGAGGAAAAGACAGGCTCTTCAACAAATGGGGCTGAGAAAGTTGGATATGCCCATGCAGAAGAAAGAAGGAGAACCCCAACCTTACATTAAATACAATAACTCAAATTGGATTAAAGACCTAAACCTAACATATTAAGCTTGTAGAAGAAAACAAGGGAAAAGCTTCATGACACTGCATCTGACAGTGATTTTTTGGATATGGTACCAAAAGTGCAGGCGCCAAAAGTAAAACTGGACAGATGGGATTCTATCAAACCTAAAAGCTTCTGTACGTCAGAGGGAAAAATCAACAGGGTGAAAGGCAACCTACAGAAGGGGACAAAACATCTACAAATCATGTATCTGATAAAGGGTTAATATACAGACAATATAAAGAACTAAAACTCAACAAAAAAATAACCTGATTTCAAAATGGGCAAAGGACTTGAATAGACATTTTTCCAAAGAACACATACAGATGGCCAACAGGCATGAGATTCAGTATTCAGAGTTTGGTATTAGGAAATCTACTCATGTAATCCATATTTTATAGATTGAAAGAAAAAAACTCAATAAAATATGAAAAAGTAGATGCTTCTTTAAGTGAAGAAAACATCCCTATGTCATTCCTATGGCTGATATTATGCTTAATAAAAGTTACTAAAAATATTCCTGTTAAGGTTAAGAACAAGATTAGTATGTAAAGCCCTCTTAATACTGTTCTGGGGGTACTACATAATTAGCATCCTAGTCAGGCAAGACAAAAAAACCTGTAAGATAGAAAAATGTAAAAACATCACCATTTGCAGACATATATATAATACATATTATATATACATATAATCAAATGCTTGGAAAGCTCAAGAGAGTTACATAAAAAAAAACTGTCATACTTTTGGACTCCGTGGGAGAAGGCGAGGGTAGGATGTTTCCAGAGAGCAGCATGTATATTATATATAGTGAAACAGATCACCAGCCCAGGTGGGATGCATGAGACAAGTACTCGGGCCTGGTGCACTGGGAAGACCCAGAGGAATCGGGTGGAGAGGGAGGTGGGAGGAGGGATCGGGATGGGGAATACATGTAACTCCATGGCTGATTCATGTCAATGTATGACAAAACCCACTGAAATGTTGTGAAGTAATTAACCTCCAACTAATAAAAATAAATGAAAAAAATAAAAAATAAAGATCACCTCCATGATGCAGGCGAAAAAAAAAAAAAACTGTCATAAACAATGAGAAAATTCAATAAATTGGGTCAGCTACAAAATTCATCTGAAGATGAGACTAGCTCTGTCATATTAGAAAATAGCCAGTTGGAGTATAATATGGATGAATGCCGTATTAGTCCATATTACAGATTATGCCATTTCCAATTGCAATAAATATAAACTACCTAGGAATAAATGTAATAAGACATACAGAATCTTTATAAAAGAAAATGTTAAAATCTTCATCAGGTATGATCATAAAGGAAGGGAAAAGCCTGCTGTGTTTTCAATAGGAGACTCCACATGATAAAATCAGTTTTCTCTTAATCTATAAATTCATAGTGATTACAGTAAGAAAAAAAATGCATGGTTTTTTTTTTTTTGGAAAGCAAATATTCTGATTCTAAGGTTTAGAAAGAAATGTAAATGAGAATAGCCAGAAAAATTCTGAAAAACAAGAATGAAGAGGGACTAATACCAGATATATAAAACATTTAAACGCTTAATAAACTAAAACAGTAATGCTATAGACACATGGTTAGAGATTAATGGGCTACAACAGAAAGTCCAAAAATAGATTCAGATATATAGATGATAAAGCAGATGACGAAGGTGGCTTTTATACATTAGTGATGAAGAGATAAACTGATAAATGCTGTTTGAATAACTGGATAATCTGGAAGGTAACATGAAATCCCATCTTAACAGTAGGAAAAATTCCACATGGATCATAAATATCATCGTAAATAAGCTAGAAAAAAATCATAGGAGACTCCTAACCTGAAAGGGTGAAGTTCTGAAATATGACACAAACCCATAGGACAAAGGAGTAAAGAAACAGCACCTCAGACACACTCTGTCAAAACTCAGATGACAAAAGCAAAGATCTGTCCTCTGACATTCTTGGTGTGGTAGGTAGAATAACAGCCTCCCTGATACATCCGTGTCCTAATTCCCAGACCCGAACATGTTAGATTACAGGGCAACAAACGCTGCCTCTCCCCATGCTCACCCCACACCTGACCTCACTCACGCCCAGGGCTCATGCTTGCTTCTTAGCTTCCCATTTAAAATTCTCTTATTGTACACTGTATGTTGCCGAAATCGTTTCTGGAGGTGATTTTGGTCCTGTGTTACACTGTGGCTTTGAGTCTCATCAGGGAAGATTCTGCATGCACGCAGATGTGTACACCCCCTCGGGAACATCTGGCGATGTCTGGAGACATTTTTGGCTTTACAAATGAGGGGAGGCCAGGGAGGCTGCTAAACATACTGCCATGCATAGAATGACATCCCCACTTCCCGCCCCCACTAGCTCCCCGACAAAGGATTATCCCACCCACAATGTCAACACTGCTGAGGCTGAGAAACCCCCCATCCAGAGCAGGAGCACCCCAGGCAAAGGACAGCCTCAAAACAGGGACAAAGCCTCAAAACAGGAATACACTCGATGTGTCGAAGCCAGCACGTGTGGCCTCGCACTGTCTGCTCGCGTGCCCCTACAGCAGAGCTGAGGAGCTGTGACACAGGCCAGGTGGCTGGCGAAGCCTGAAATACGTCCTGTCTGGACCTTTAAAGAAGACATCTGCCAAACTCCCCGTGAACGGAGCAGCAAGAGAGGCTGGCGTGGCTGTAGCCGAGCAAGCAACACGGGGTGGTGAGAGACGGAATCAGAGTGGAGGCAGGCGGCAGGCTGCAGAGGCGCCGCAGGCCAACAGGAGTTGCTGGGATACTGAAAGCATTCTATTCTGCACTGCCCACCAGTGCAGCCCCTAGCTGCTCATGGCTACTCAGCATCTGGAGTGTGGCGTGGGCAGCTGCGACATGGAATTTCACTGTTCCTTTTAGTTAAAAGCCACAGCACGTGTGCCTGATGGCTGCAGTAGACATAGAGCCTTCTAGGCCATGGGATAGATTCGGGCTTTTCTCTTGAGTGAGACAGGAAGCTGTGGGCAAGTTGTGAGCAGAGATGTAATACACTCTCGCTGAAGATTGAGAGGGGTTCCCAGTGGCACAGCGGTAAAGAATCCGCACAAGAGTGGACGCAGAGTGGGGGAGGCGGCCACTGCACTTCCGAGTGGTGGGGGGAATGTGGGAGGTCGCAGTGTTGCTTGTTGGTGAAAAGTGGCTAAATTCTGGTTATATTTTGAGGTAGAGCTAACAGGATCTGCTGACAGACTGAATACGCGTGTGAGACGGAAAAGTAAGGGATGCTTCAGCAGTTTTTGACTTAAGCAAGTCAGGTAGAGTCCCCTCGTACTGATGTGCAGAAGAAACGGGCGGGGGGTGGTATACTTGTCAGGGATGTCCCTTTGGGACGTAAGTTCAAGGTGTCTGGTGAACATCCGAGTGGAGCTGATAGGATACAGGTATCGAGTTCAAGGGAGAAGCTGAAGCTGAAGGCGGTAATTCGTGATAAAGAACTTGATCCGGTGGTGGGAACATTGTCTATCTGCACTGTCCAGTACAGTAGCCACTAGCCACAAAATAGCTACTGAACATCTGGAATGTGTCAAGTGCAACTGAGATACTGAATTTTGAAATGGCTATAATTGTAGGGAATTCCCTGGTTGCCCAGTGGTTAGGACTTCCGTGCTTTTACTGCTGAGGGCCTGGGTGCAATATCTAGTCGGGGCACGAAGATTCCACAAGCCTGGAGGCACAGCCAAAAAAGGAAAACGTATTTACTTACAGTGAATTTAAATTTCCATGGCTACGTGTGGCCAGTGGTTCCTCCGCAGCCAGCACAGGCGGGAACGGTGTGTACCGCGCGGCCCTGGAGAAGGCCCCGGGGAGCAGACGTACACAGCAGCGGCCCAGGGCTGAGCCCGGGTGCTCCAGCTTGTGCCGAAGGTGAGCTCCAACTCAAAGCGCCTGCCTCCTCATCAGCCCGCTGGGCAGTCACCCAAACTGCGTTCTCTTCCCACACATGCCTCACTCACCTGGGCACAGGCCTCCTGCTGCCACTTCCTCCACCGTCCAGGGCTCTTTGCCTTGCTCCAGGAAGGAGATCACATCAGGTTTAGAAACGGCAAGACCTGGATGTAAGAAAAAAACATGCCACCCGGTTATGCTGTGGGGCCTCAGAGTTCAGATCCAGGGTTAACAAGCAGGACAGGCAAGAAGGGCCAAGGGAACAGGAGAGTCACATGAGGGTTGGGGCAGACGCAGCTTCAGGCCAAAGAGCTGCCCTCTAACCACTCAAAAGACCCTCGACATTGACAAGGAACCCATGTGGCCCGGGGTAACCTCCAAAGTAACAGACCGCACTGCCTTACCCAGTGAGACCAGGTTGCTATAGGTCTCCAACATCACGTCTCTGTACAGATCCCTCTGAGTGGGTGCCAGCTGTTCCCATTCTTCTTGGGAGAAGACTATGGCCACATCCCTGAATAAGTCTGACCCCTGGAACAACAGGCAGGTATGCTATAAGCATATTTCACGGAAACATTTTTCCATGGGATGAGAGGCGATGGAGGAGGTCTCTGCAGGAATGGGGTGTCCTGGAGAAGAAGGCTGGGGCTGGAGGCACCTGACGTGACAGGTGAAGGAAAAGATAAGCACAGGTAAAAGAGAGGTTCAAGTATTCCTGCTTGAATACCAAAGCTCGTGTGCTCGGGTCCAGGAGGAAAACTAAACCCAGCCAGATCGAGTTCTCCCGGTTAGGACAGTGTCGAGTATACTGCCTACCCTGTGCTTGGTACATGATAAATTCTCTGTGTGAGGCCTGTCATCTGTACTTCTAGGAGTAACAGCAACAAACCCCAACAATTTGGGGGTAGTCTTTCCTCAAAATGTTAAAAGAAATATTTAATATCTTGTGCATGCTCAGTCGTGTCTGACTCTCTGTGACCCCATGGACTGTAGCCCCCCAGGCTCCTCTGTCCACGGACTTTTTCAGGCAAGAAAAACACTGTCCACGACTTTTTCAGGAATGGTTTGCCATTTCCTCCTCCAGGGGAATCTTCCTGACCCAGGGATGGAACCCGCTTCTCCTGCATTGGCAGGTGGATTCTTTACCACTGAGCCGCCTGGGAAGCCAGGTGTTTTACCTTAGAAAATAGAATTTTTGTTTGTCAAGAACTGCTTGAAGACATAGGCTCATCATTATATGAAAACATGTCACACAAATTTTTCCTATGGGAAAAATCTTGGATGATGATTACTTTTATTAGCTGCATAATTGATTACCAAGTGAAATAACTGACTCAGCCATTCTTTTATTTTGGATGCAGAGGTCTCCAAGGTCTTTGTCCTCTTTCAAAACTATGACTATCCAGATTTGGAACAATGCATCCATCTAACTGATGGTCTTACAGTCTCAGCTCTGCACTGTGCTTGCTTTTAAGCTGAAGAAGCTGGTGGAGAATGACCGAGATTCCAATGCTCTGTTCAGCCTCAAACTGGACCTTAATGCAGGCATTTAATCTCCTAGATGCCCTGATAAACTTCAGTTACACACCCAACTGTCAATATAGGAGATGGTGACCCCACACTGAAATTGAGCCCAACCAATACCAACTCCCCTGATTTTGTGTGTGTGATCTCTCATCAGTATTCATCTCCATTTCATCAAATCTCAGTTCTTGTAAGGGATGTTCTCATTTTATATAAGGAAATGGACTTCTCCTCCCTCTGGCCTCCCAGCAGAATACCAAGCCATCAGAAGACACAGAATGCTATACGGAATGAATCCACGTGGGCACTGGTCAGCATGGATGGGGCCAAGGGGGAGGGAACCTCTGAGAAGCAGATTCTTGGATGGAACCCAGGGGGGAAACTTCAGGATAAGGAAAACAAATATTTACATGATTTGAAAACTCACGAGGGACATGACTGTCAGGATCTCATGGGCTGCTGCGTCGTCCTCTTGGTTTGTCTCTTGGGGAAGGGCAAAGTCCTGAGATGACAGACCTGAGCGGGGAAAGAGCAATCATATGAGAGGTCAGGCTTGCCTCACAGCTCCCAGAAAGTGTGCAGTGACAGTGCCCACTCTGCTCCCCACTGCCCAGTTACAGGGCGCCTTCCCCAGCTCCACCTTGTTACTGATGCGATCTGAGGGGGCACGCATGGACCTGGGCCAGTGACTGAGAATTGGGCCCCTGGGACAAGGAAGGCTGTCCTCGGGCCAGGGAGCACAGCCTGCCTGATCTGCTCAGTGAAACCTTCCCAGAACCAAACCGTTTAATGCTCTCGTGCCCATACTGTAACACCCTCAGAGGTCTCCCTGGCTCTTAACCTAACTTTCTAATTCATAAAGAACCCTACAGCCCTACCTAAGGTCTGGCAGGCACCATGTTGCAGACCCTGCCTTGAGTCAACACATGCTTGCAGTGGGCAAATCAGATGGGGCAGGCCCAGTACTCCACCATAAGCAAGCCTCTGCAGAGATGTAAGTGAGCGAAGCTTTGGGCACAGTATTTGCTGAAAAACGGAATCAAGATTAGTACATAACAGTTCACAAGTAGGCGAGTGGTTGAATTATATGGATGTCAAGCAACTATCAAAAGTCATGTGGGACAACATCAACCGACAACTATGTTCGCACCTGGATCCCTTCTACAACAAGGTAACATTCAGCAACAGAAGTCAAACCCACCCACCTACGGACAGGCAGGCTAACAAAGTCCAAAAAAAACTAAATTAAACTGGAATGGAAAACATCCAAGTATTAAGAATGATGCCATTTAACCACTTCCTGAGTTCATCAGTAAAACAGTATTTTATAAAAGAGCTTAGGACATTGCCCAACATGTAACAAATACTTAATTCTTAATGTGTAAACGGAATAATGACTTTGTTTAGTCGCTAAGTAGTGTACGACTCTTGCGACCTTTGGACTGTAATCCACCAGGCCCCTCTGTCCATGGGATTCTTCAGGCAAGAATACTGGAGTGGGTTGCCATTTCCTTCTCCAGGGGAATTTTCCCCAACCAGGATAGAACCTGTGTCTCCCGCATTGCAGGTGAATTCTTTACCACTGAGCTAAGGGGGAAGCCCACTGTTCCTTAGTATCACGTAGAAGGCCGTTTTCCTTATGACAACTTTCTTTAAAGCATTATTTGTATTTGCTGTAACTATTTCGTTACAGGGGTGGCCCGTGACTTACTCAGCCATCTTCCCATGAATGTATCATGATAGTGAAAGTCGCTCAGTTGTCTCTAACTCTTTGGGACCTAGTCCATGGGATTCTCAAGGCCAGAATACTGGAAGGGGTTGCCTTTCCCTCCTCTGGGGATCTTCCCAACCCAGGGATCGAACCCAGGTCTCCCGCATTGCAGGCGGATTCTTTACAAGCTGAGCCACAAGGTAAGCCCCAATGGTTGGACTAATTTTAAACAAGAATATAATAATATGTTTCTAAGTCGCTGCTTGTAAACTAGAGGTTTCAAATTTTCAGGGGTCTTCCAACTCTGAGAGTCTCATGAGACAAGACTTCACCCCAGATTTTTAAAAGGATGCATAAGAAAAATGCAAAACATCCATAAGCAAGCAGTTTCTGGGGGCCGCGACCCTCAACAGGCACACCCACCTAACGGGTCCATGGACCCGGGCCATGAGTCCTGGCGGCAACAGGCGGCGACAGCAGGGCGCGCCGCGGGGGCCGATGGGGACTGTAGTCCGGAGCCAGGAAAGCCGCCGACGGACGGCGAAACGAGACGTTCCGGTTCTTTCCAGGCCCGTGACCCGCCCGGCCGCGGCGCCCAGTCCGGCGCAGATCCCGGGGCTCCTGGTAAGCTCCGGAGCCCCTCACCTGCCAACTCCTCTGGTCCAGGTGCCCCGCAGCCGCGCCCCCAGCAGCCCCGGGTGCGCCTCCTCGTCTGTACCAGTGGACTCAGGAGCCGGAAGATGGCGCAGACGCACAAAGCACTGCCGATGCTGCGTCGCGGTTGGACAGGCGCCGCAGTGTCTTCTGGGAAACGTAGTCTCCGGTCCTTAAGGCTGGCCCCAAGGAGCAAGACTGCGTCTCGCGATGCTTCGAGTGGGCGGGGCTCCTGCGTAAATCGGTGCGTGGGAAACCGTCTGGGATACGAATGTGCCTTGTGGGTTTCGTGGGTCGCCGGGTGAGTGCCTTGGCGTCGGGCGCGCTCTTCTCGCGTGGCTGTCTCCCTGATGCAGGTGAGTGTGGGCGTGGCCGTACCCGGGTGAGCTGTGTTCGGTTCTGACCCGGTCGTTGAGTGTGTGACTGGGACCGTTAAACGCCGGGTATATGTTTGTGTGTGTAAAATCGGTATGCGGAAAAGAATCCCATTATTAAATCACCGTCGCCGTGGAACAGCCGTTTTACTGGAAGACTTGGAGGGAGGAAAAAGCCCGAGAGTTCGTTTGGTAACTAATTTTATTATTTTTTTGGTAACTAATTTTAAAACCTTGTTGTTGTCGCTCAGTCGTGTTCGACTCTTTGCGACCCCAAACACTCCAGGCTTCCCTGTCCTTCAGGATCTCCCGGACTTTGCTCAAATCCTGTCCATCGAGTCAATGATGCCATCCGACCATCTTGTCCAATGTCGTCGCCTATTCTGTCCTCAAGCTTTCCCAGCATCCGGGTCTATTCCAATGAATCGACTCTTCACATCAGGTGGCCAAAGTATTAGCCAGGAGGCTCAGTGGTAAAGAATGGGCCTGCTGGACAGGAGACGCAGATTTGATCCCCGTGTCGAGGAGATCCCCTGGAGAGGGAAATGGCAATCCGCTCAAGTATTCTTGCCTGGCGAATCCCATGGATGGAGAAACTTGGTGGGCTATACTCTGTGTGGTCGCAGAGAGTCCAACACGACTTAGGGACTAAACAATTTTAAAACATTATGTCACAAGAATGCTGAAATACTTGCAGATTATGAAGGAAAATACAGAATCAGCAAAAGGTTTTGAAGGAGATGTCAAAGAGTTTTCTGTTATGAGATGATATTTCTCGGCTAAGACCTCTAGCTACAGGTAGTTCAACTTTGGTTTGTGAAAGCGTGAGAAGCCCTGAACTTTGCCGATCCCTGGACAGCGTGTTCTGATATGGTGGGAAGTCCAATGTTCTGGATCTGCTCAGACCCTGTTAAACCTGGCCTGTGAATGAGGAAAACATTTCGGTCCAGGGTGATACAGTTGTCCCTGAGCCAGACCCAGTCCAGCGCCCTTGCCTCTTGAGTTGTCTTACAACACGTTCTCTTGCATCTGCCTTCTTGAAACGTTTTTTCTGAGATCTGTGCATATTCACGTTGTTGCACGTCTGAAGAATGCTTTTCTCTAAGTTAATTTCAAAATGTAATTTAAACTCAATAAAAATACTAGTACTGTTTCTCCATTGGAAATAGACAAGTTGATACTAAAGCTCAAAGTAAAAAGTAAACTTGCAAGAATGGCTAAGAATATTCTGAGAACGGAAAGCTATAATGTATGCTAAAATGACCAGATATTAAACATTCTAAAAAGGGTCTATAATTGTAACTACTGCGTGGTATCGGCTCATGAATTGTTAGGTGGGAGAGACTAGATGGTCCAGAAATATCAAGTGCAGAGGGAAGTCTACTGTATATAAATGTGGCAAATCATTGGAATAAAAATGGATTTTTTTTTTTGATTTTTTTTTTAATAAAAAAGCTTGTGGAATAACTGGATAGTCAGTTGGGAAAAAATAAAATTATATTAATAGCTCACATAATGCAAAAGAATAAACTCCAAATTGACTTGAGTTCTAATTTAAACCATACAAATAGCAGACATGTACAGAGGTGAATTCCATTATGACCTGAATGTGTGGAAAGACTTTCTGACTTAAAAATCCAGATGTAATAAAAGACCGCTGCACTTGAGAACATAAAACTAAAGCACTTATGTAAGGTAAAATACACCATAAGCAAAGACCAAACACAAATGACAAAATTTTTACAACTTTATGAATCTCAGATAAGGAGCTAACATTCCTAATAAGTAAAAACCGAAAGCCAAAAAATGCAGCCTCTGCATTCAATTTAGTAGATTGTTTTTCACAATAGCTTTGGTATCGTGATTTGGAAACTATTTTATGTGCATTATTATTGTTGCTCAGTTGCCAAGTCATGTCTGACTTTGTGACCCCATGGACTGCAGCATGCCCGGCTTCCCTGTCCTTCACTGTCTCCCGGAGCTTGCTCAGACTCACGCCCGTTGAGTCGGTGATGCCATCCAACCATCTCATCCTCTGTCGTCCCTTCTCCTCCTGCTCTCCATAGTTCCCAGCACTGGCGTTTTTAGAACTGAGCAACTGAATAAAGGCATTGATTTGTTGGTGGCCAGTGTTTTACTGTGGGAAAAGAGAGATATAAATAAAGGATAATAGAAGATAAAGAACCACCCCATGATGTGGAGTTGGTGTGAACTCATGATTAAAAATGTTTGTGCAGCTCACTGAGATGAGTGTTAACACCCATAGTGATGGCATGTTAAGATCAGGTACTCGTGATAAGATGTGGTGGAAATGGCACTTGACCTTTATGATCTTCCCCCCCCAAAACACAGAGCCTCATTTTAATGACAGCACGGCAGACAAACGGCAGTCATTGGACATTCGACAAAATATCTGCCCTGAACTCCACAAAAGTGGAGTGACGGTCATTGTAAACAAGGAAAGGCTGAGAAACCATCACAACTGAAAGGAGCCTATTGAAACACAGCTACTAAAAATAACGTATCCTGAGTGAGATCCTGGAAAAACCAAAGGACATTAGATAAAAAGTGGGAAAGATAAAGTGTGGACTTTAACAATAATGCATCAGTGTTGGTTCATAATTGTTAAAAAAAGTTAACCAAAACTGGGTGCAGAGTATGTGGGAACCTTGTGTACTATCTTTGCAGTTTTTTCTGTAAATTAAAAACTTCTAAAGTAAAAGTTCATTTGAATTAGTCTTTTTTTTTTTTAAGTGTGTGTTTGTATAATTTTCTTCTTCTCTATTTGGTGAAGGAGTGTGGAAGCAATGATGCCTCAGTAGCAAGAAGCAGACCTTGGTCTCTAAATACCATTCTCTAATGAAAAGGAGCCAGAGCTTACTGGGGTGATGTCTGATTCCAGGATGATGGCAGGGAAAATACAAAGTGAGAATGTAGTATATACTTAGGCCCAAAAGTAGGGGGGTGCAAAAATATCCCAGAGGAGCCCCTGCCCACAGTGCAGTGGTGTAAGAGCACAAAACCTGCCATCCCACTTTATATGCAAATAGGAAACTAGACAATATGTAGGAAACATGTCTTTTCAGACATTGGACACCTGGTAGTGTGAGAGAGGGGAGAATAAATGACTCCCTCCTGCAGCAGCGGCTGTCTCTCTGGAGGCATATTGCAGACAATACAGGAAGGAGGGACGCAAGCAGAGCACACCGATTTCCTCAAGTGAGACAAACAGCAGAGCTGGGGAAACTCAAGTAACTGGAATCAGCTGAGTGGAGTGTGGAAGAGGAAGGAAGGGGTGGGAGGCAGGTACTCGGAGAAAGCGCTCCAGAAATATGCACAGGAGTCTCCCTGCGTTCCTAAGCTGTGCATGGATCTATTTAAAGGGAAATTCTAGAACTGCAAAACTGTAGGGACAGAAAGATCAGTGGTTGCTCTGGCCCACAGGTTCAGGGAAAGTTGGAAAAGGAATGGAAGGGGAGTTTGGGGGATGATGGAAATCTTGCATATCTTGATTGAGGTGGTGATCACATGGATGTAGATATTTGTCAAAGCTCTTTGAAGCGTATTCTCCAGGATTCAGTTTGAGGAGGGCTTTTGTGGGCATAACTGGGACAATCTGAGTGTCAGTATAATTAGAGTAACAGTATAAATCAACGTATTTCATATATTCATACTAAAATAAATGATGACTGAATGAGAAGAGAAAGAACTTACAGAATTCCGACAAGTAAATATAGAAGGAATGATAAAGGTATCTTTCAGCCATCGTGGACGTAATCGATTCCAGCAGAAATACTGATTCTAAAGCTGTTGCTGAAGATTGATAATGAACAGGATATCTTTGTAGTCTCAAATGTATCTCCTCACAGATAACTGGCTACAAAAGCAAAAATGGTCACTTTAGAGTGATCACTTGGAGAAGGAAATGGCAACCCACTCTAGTATTCTTGCCTGGAAAAATCCACGGACAGAGGAGTCTGGCAGGCTGAAGTCCATGGGATTACATGACTCAGCCTGTGTGCATGAGGGTGGAGGGAGATGGGTTGGTAGCAATAAACTGGTAGAACTGAAAAAAAAAAAAAAAAAATAGAGTGATCACCATTAATCAGATGCTTCGAATTTGCAACTGTCTTCTGGACTATAGGTTCTCAAGGTGGGAAATTCAGTCTTGCTGTGCTCAGTCATTTGTTGGTTTAATAAGTAGCCAGATCTTGTCTCTAAGATTTTGATGTTTTGTTCATAATGAACTTTTTACATTGATCTTTATTTTTAGGAACATTTCATCGATGTATCATGTGTGTTGGTTTCTGGTTTGGTTTTGTTTTTTGGTGCCCCCTTCTATGTCGTGTATGAAGGAGTGCTTCACTCCCTGAGCTCTACCTTTAAATGAGGAGGGGGCGGAGCAAAGGATGAATGAGAGCAGATGCACTGCTGGAGCTGATGAAATTCTACCCTGCGCTCAGGGTCCACTCCCTTCGGTTCTTCAGTGCTTAAGGTGTCCCCATGGACTGTAGCCCACCAGTCTCTCTCCATGGGATTCTCCAGGCAAGAATACTGGAGTGGATCAGCATTTCCTTCTCCGGGGAATATTCCTGATCGGGAATGGATGGGGATGGAACCTGAGTCTCCCACACTGCAGACAGGTTCTTTAGCGTCTGAGCCGCCCGGGAAGCTCTTCTTCTTTGGAGGTATTTCAGCATATTCCAGGGTTGTATAGCTGTCAGCACAATCTACACTTGAAACATTTTCGTCACCACAGGAAGAAAGCCTGATGTTAGCTCATTCTTCATGTCCGCCCCTCAGCCCAAACAGCCACTGATCTACTTTCTCTGAAGTTTTTCCCTATTCTGGATATTTCATGTCAAATGGGCTCATACAATACGTAGTCTTTTGTGACTGGCTTTTCACATAGTGTAATGTTTCCAAGGCCCATCCTTGGAGCTTGGTATCAGCACGTCATTCCTTTTATTAGTTGATGACTGAATGACTGGGCATTTGGGTGGTTTCCACTCTGGCCATCGTGAATAATGCTGTTATGGACCATTTGTGTACTAGTTTTTGCATGGATGTGTGTTTTCATTTTTCTTAGGTATATATACATCCATGACTGCAATTGCTGGGTCATGTAGTAACTCTAGCTGTTTAAGGAATGTCTGGAATGTTTCTCCAAGGCAGCAACTTCATTTTAAATTCCCACTGGCAACGTATGAGGGTTCAGTGTCTCCCCATCCTCACCAACACTTTGTTGTCTGACTTTTTGATTCTAGCCATTTTTGTGAGTGTGAAATGGCAAGTCGTTATGGTTTTGATTTACATTTCCCTAAGGACTGATGATTTGAGCATCTTTTCAAGTGCTTTTGGACTTGCGGTTCATATTCTTTGGAGAGGTGTCCGTATCCTTTGCCTGTTTTAGAATTGTGTTCGGGTGCAAAAGCAGTTTATTGGAGGAAGAGGAGCATCTTCAGCAAATGACACCGGCACCATTGGACATGCACCGCAACAAAAGAACTTCAGCCTCACACCTGTTATAAAATTTAACTCAAAATAGAGTACAGACTTAAATTTGCTCCAGTATCAATCCATGAAAAAAATAAATATATCTTCATTCTGACAATGAGAGCAAAGTGGGTCCTTTTGTCTCGGATTCTGTACTCTTAATACTCAAGATCATGTACTTAGATTACTCCATTAAATTTAATATGCTAGGCAGACATCTGTTTGCTGATTATTGATTTGAAAATGATAAATTTGTCTTTTATGCAGGTCACAGTAAATTTTGATGCAAGCTTTGTAGAGGGTTCTGCCAACAGAAGCTTAAAAGGTAATGGTTGAAAACAAAAAATGTTATCACCTATCTTCTTCAGGGTAAAGATGCTCATACATCTTTACGGACATTCAAGGTTCTTCATACATCTGTGAAATGTGGAAAAGGCTGCAAAAACCTGCACATTTACTAATACGTCTTAACTTACATGTTTGCACTGTTTCAGAAAGTCAGAGGTTAGGTACAGTTGGAATTTCAACATTAAAACAAAACCAACTAGTTTTTGTGGATTGTGTTCCTTTTACTTTTTTACATATAGGAACAGTTTTCCAATAGTGCAATCTTAATGTAGTTGTAACAGATCAATTCCGCCTTTAACAAAAACGAAACCCCAGAAATACAGGTTGCTTCAGTATCACACAAGTAGTTTTATAAGTTGTATAATATCAAACGTATTTATTTCTCTACTTTTAACCATGTTGTTTATATTCAACATGTTATTACTATATGCAGTGTTTCAATATCTTTGTAAATATAACATTTGCATTTTTTACATTTCCTCCATATAAACATTTCCAGCTTTTTGTCATTGGTTCCTTTGATGGGAAGTTAATCTGAAGCTCCACATCCTATAATGCAATTTCAGAAAAGGTGAGGCATGAATGTGAGGACTAGAGGTAGGAGTTTATTAAACATTTTCACACACATACTGAATAGGAACAAGAGGGTGTAAAATGAACGAAGTGCCGAAAGAATAGCCTTGTGCTCTGCTTTTCTTTATAACGTGTATCAATTCCCAGTATTTATCAGTATCTTTTTTTTTTCCTATTAAATTTCTCCCACACTGGAACCTCAGCTCCGCGGATGGGGATTTTGGCACGTTCCTAGTTGCGTCCCCAGCGCCTACAACAGTGCTTGGCGAACTGTGCTTTCCTTGGTCGCTCAGTCCTGTCAGACTCTAGCCCGCTAGGCTCCTCTGTCCATGGGATTCTCCAGGGAACAACACTGGAGTGGGTTGCCACGCCCTCCTCCAGGGGACCTTCCGGACCCAGGGATGGAACCCAGGTCTCCTGCGCTGGCAGGCGGATTCTTTACCACTGAGCAGTGTGGGAAGCCCTGCTTGGCACACGGTAGGTCCTCAGTAAGTGGCAACTGAAAGGATCGGGACGATAGAGGGGATGCAGGAGAAGCCCCGAGCCCTGGCGCTCTCCGTAGCCCGCACACCCAGCCCCACCGTCTGCGTTCCCCCAGCGGCGGCCGCGGCCACGGCGCATGCGCCCCACAGCCCCGCCGCCACGCGCGGCCAGCGGTTCTGGACACCTCGACGACGCGAGCGAGGTGCGCCTGCGCAGTTCACGCCGCCCATTCAGGTCTAGGCGGACTCGGCAGCCAGGCGATGGGTCCGCCGGCCTGAGGGCTGGGCCGGGCCGGCTCTGGGTCGGAAGGCCGGGGATACGGGAGCACGCTAGAGACGACGCGAGGGGACGAGGCCGGAAGCCGCCGGCGGCCGCGGCCGGCAGTCAGCGCGTGTGCGCGCCGCGGGGGTGGAGGCCGTGCGCCCCAGGCCCGGGGGCTCTGTGTGGTGGGGAAGACGCGAGATGGAGGAGAGACGGAGTTCCCAGAGGGAAGGGACGGAGGGAAGGGAGCTGGGGAGGAGACGGCCTCGGCCCGGCGGGCAGAGCCCTGGGCGCCGGCCTTGACCGCCTCCGGCACCGAAGGTCCTTCCACCGCCGCTGTACCGGCCAAGGCAGGGAGTTCCGTGGACAGTAACTCGTAACTTGGGGAGTTGCGGTGACAGTTTCTGCATGTCCCTGCACCTGCACACCCTCCCCACCCACGTCGAGGAAATTTGTTAGAAAAGTTGAGCGAATGGTTTTCCGGTGTGTTTTATAATAAGCCAGGGCTAGAAGCAGGAAGTCCTCTTTGGTCCAGGGTCCTCCAGACCACACGACCCCCGTGCGGGCTACCCTGTGTAAAGATGCTTTCTCTGAGGCATTCACTTTGTAGCTTTTTAATCTCATCTCTGTAGAAACGGTGGGGACACATTTCTTTTCAATGTCATCCTCTAGTGAAGAGACTAAGGAGGCAGATCTGGATCCCAGTTGGGCTGAACTGCTTAAATTACCATGAAGCGTTGGATAATTTCACTGATGTGAATTTCACGTGTGAAGGGGGACACACCCCTTACCTAGCAGTGCCACCCTGAAGGGTACTGTTATTCTTATAAACGAGGAGCTCTTTTATGCACAGAGAGTTCATGTCGCATATTGAGATCTAAAGCACGTGGGAGATTTAAATGGAATATGAGCGTGCTAAATCGCTTCAGTCGTGTCCGACTCTTTGCGACCCCATGGACTGTAGCCCACCAGGCTCCTCTGTCCGTGGGATTCTCCAGGCAAGAATGTGTTGCCATTTCCTTCTCCAGGGATCTTCCTGACCCAGGGATCAAAGTGTCTCCTGTGTCTCCTGCATTGTTATGCGGGTTCTTTACCACTCGAACCACCTGGGAAGCCCTTAAGTGAAGTACGACCTCTAAAGATACTGAATCACTATGTTGAACACTTGAAACTAATATAACACTATAAATCAACTGTACTTAAAGCAGGTAGGTGAAAGAATTTAGATAGCAAACACCAATTGAGTGTCAGCTCTTAAGTTCTGTGGTGGGGAGAAGGGCAGCGAGAAGGAAAGGAGACTTTCTTGGCTGACGGTGCTGAGAGCTGAGGGCAGTCCTGGCATTTTATGTTTTCTTCCTCCCTCTCCAGCTGTGTTTTCTCTGAACGCTGCTCAGAGAGGAGCCGGAAGGAGGAGGGCAGAAGAGCTGTTGTAGTTTCTTAAAGCCATGTCCGAGGTAAGGAAATATTTCTTTTCTCTGAAATGCCTTGTTTTTTCAGATTTTACATGGACATTTTGCTTTTCTTCTGAAACTCCCCACTCTGCTGAAGTTCCATTCATTCAGTGATCTGGTCCTCATGTTCTCCAATCTAGTGAAAGGAGATTTCCCCACCACCACCACCCTCAAAGCGCAGTGAGCTTCCTTTTTTTTTCCTTCAGCCAGAATTTTCATCTTCTATTCAAGAAACGGTTTAGCACTTTCTGTGGGTGAGGTGTTCAGTTGGGAGGTCTTAAGAGGCCAAAATACACTCCTTGGTGGAAGATGAAAATCTTCGCCGGAGGGACTTGATTCACTGAGGTCAAAGTGGCTGTTCAGATGTGAGCAGCAGTCTCAAGCTTTTCCACAGACCTGAGCTTGAGAGCCGACAGGGATTGCGGGGGAAGGCTTAGCTGTGGCACAGGGCAGGGTCTCTTGCTCAGGGTGGTTTTGAGGAGTGGGATTTGCTGGTCTTGAGTATTAAAGGGTGGGTCAGCTAGGGCAGGATTCTTCAGGCACTGGGTGAGCATTAATGAGTAGGACTCCATGGGAGTAATGAGATACCCTGAGTTAGCATCAGGCCACAGACCGAATATTCTGCATCATTCACTGAAGATTAGTAGAGTTAATATGGAAAACTGCAGGACATTTTTTGAAAAAGACTGATAAGAGGGAATATTGAATATACATTAAAAAGTGGCTGCTTACCTCTGTAATAACAAAACCAGTAAATAATATAGAATGGGAGCCAGAGAAAGAAAAAGATCAGCATATAACATCCAGAGACAAATACAAGTAAGAACGGAAAATACTTATTCACTCACTGAACATACAGTTTATTAAAGACTTCAGTTCAGTTCAGTTCAGTCACTCAGTCGTGTCCGACTCATTGCGACCCCATGAACTGCAGCACGCCAGGCCTCCCTGGCCATCACCAACTCCCGGAGTTTACTCAAACTCATGCCCATNGAAGGGCTGGATGTTCGCTTGAAATTTTTTTCTTCCTCATACTTTGAGGCTAAAAACATTGTGTAGGTTAAATATAAAAAGTAAAACCACAAACTGCTACCTCTTTTTCTTGTTTTCTATCACGCAGAGCAGCCCTGTGACTGGTGGCGGAGATGCTGTTTGCACTGCCCAGTACCGAGCGGCTAGCTACGCGTGGCTGTGGAGCCATGTGTATGGACTAGCGTGACTGAAGGGCTGAATTTTTAAATGTTGATTGATTTAAATAACCACATGTGGCCAGTAGCTAAATCTATTTAGACACCAGAATTCTAGGTTCATAAAATGATACAGCCAGGAAGAAAATTATGAGTGACCTGGTTGTCTGAGACACTGTTTTCCAAATGAGGAAAAAGAGGCCAAGGAAGGAGTGATGTGCAGATGCCACTGTTAGTGGCTGTCAGAGGCAGCAGGCTGTACTGCTGAGGGTGAGTAAGGGTGGCAGGACAGTGACAGGCTCCTGGGAGCAGAGTGCTCAGGGTCACAGAGCGCATCACTTCTCCATGGAATGAAGTCCCGCATCCTTCCCTCACCACTCAGGTCCCACACGACCCAGCTCCTGGCGCTCAGACCTCCTTTCCTCCCATCTTCACTGCTCTCTGCTCCAGTCACACTGGTCGGCTCTCTGTACCTCAAACGTTCCAAGCTCCTCTCTATTTCTGAACGTTTGCATTTGCTCCTTCCTCGTCTGTAACTCTCCTCCCCTAGTGGATGGCCTGTCTAGCTCTCCCACTTTATGTAGGTTGTTGTTCAAACCTCAGCTCATTTTTATATTTTTCCATTTATTTTTATTAGTTGGAGGCTAATTACTTTACAGTATTGTAGTGGTTTTTGCCATACACTGATTTTACACTGGATTTACATGTGTTCCCCATCCTGATCCCCCCTCCCGCCTCCCCAAACCTCAGCTCATTTTTAAGGTTTTATCTTTATCTTACACAAAAGTGGAAGTTAGTCACTCAGTAGTGTCTGGCTCTTTGTGACCCCATGGACTGCAGCCCTGGAGAAGGAAATGGCAACCCGCTCCAGTGTTCTTGCCTGGAGAATCCCGTGGACAGAGGAGTCTGGTGGGCTTCTGTCTATGGGGTCACACAGAGTCGGACACGACTGAAGCAACTTAGCAGCAGCAGCAGGACTGTAGCCCACCAGGCTCCTCTGTCCATGGGGTTCTCCAGGCAAGAAAACTGGAGCAGGTTGCCATTTCCTTCTCCAGGGGTCTTTCTGACACAGGGATTGAACCAGAGTCTCCTGCACTCCAGGCAGATTCTTTCTTTTTTTTTCAATTAGCAATAATCGCGCCTCGGATAAACCTCATTGGCTATGATGCTGCCGCTGCGCACAGCTCGGGCAGATTCTCCACCATCGGAGCCACCAGGGAAGCCCATTCTTACTCACATGAACGCCCCTGTAACTCTAAGCTATCTCACCTTGTTTCTGTCACAGTACTTAACACTACCTGACATTGTGTGACCTTATACTGAATGTCTTTCGCCTCTGTCAGAATTTTAACTCCACAAGGGGAGGGACTATATTCTGTCCATCTTTGTATTCCCAGTATAGGCAGCAGGGAGTTACAACAATGTAGGTAGCAAGCATCCACTAGATATTTGCCAAATCAATATATAGATCAACAAAACAGTGAATATTTGAGAGCAGGGCAGCAGGGGCCAGCAGGCAGCCCCTCTTCAGCTGTCCGCGAGCTGGCGACGGAGGGCGGCACAGGGCATGCTATGTGGGACACACAGCCCGTCGACCCAAAGGCCCGAGTGCGCCACAGTCTCTTGCGAGGGGGCCCAGGAAACCGCAGTTTTACTGAGTCCGCTGATGATATCAACGCAGGTTTTGAGAACCTCTGCCCCTAAAGATTATATATTTAAAGTATGCCTCTTGTTATTGTGCTCAGTCACTGTGTCGTATCCAACTCTCTGACCCCACGGACTGTATGTAGCCCACCAGGCTCCTCTGTCCATGAGACTTCCCAGGCAGGGATACTGGAGTGGGTTGCCTTTTCCTTCTCCAGGGGAACTTCCCAGACCAGGGATCAAACCCAGGTCTCCTGTATTGGCCACCTGCAAAGCCTCTTATAAAAGAGTGTATGTTTTATATTTTCTCTATTCTCACAGCAGGCTATTATTCTTTTAGTGGCCACTTTGGGATAATATGTATCCATCACTTCTTACTGTAACAATCATCTTTCTTCCCTCTGTAATCTTCCGTCTATAGTTAGTACTTTTGTTACTTTCTCAACAAGGTAACTCCCCTATATTATTATTTGTAGATGTTATATTTAGTTATTGTTTCGGGGCTCTGAATTTTTTCCTGTGCTTCAATGCTTCCATTTTCCTTTTACTTTTCATTTTGTTCCATTTTCCTTCTACCTGAAAAACTTTTATTAGTATTGCTTTGACTGCAGGTCAAAACTTCAGTCCCAACCTGATTTTTTTTTTTTTTCATTATGTCCTTTTCTGACTAGGCCAGAATAGTGTAAATTAAACTTTTTTCTGATGTTAAGTAAGTTGGGAAATCCTAATCTTAATGGAGAGAAGAACTTTTAAGAGTATATTTTAAGACAATAACTAGAGACCTTTGTAACATCATAGTGAAAAATTAAGACTGACATAATTGAAAATAAGCAAGGGGTTAGTAAATCAGATATGGCTGATTTACATTATGTATTGATAATAATATGCATCTAACAAGAGTGATGTTATCAGTAAATGAATATGTAATCATAGACATGTCTGTGTAAGGAAATGTGAACAAATACATACTAACTGTGCATTTTGACTGCTTATAGGAGGTAGGTAGATGTTGGGGGTTAGGACTTTCGAGTTTTTAACTTAGAAAGGGAAAAAAAAATCACTGTGAGTAGAAATACCAGGCACTATTTTCTTTCTTTTAAAAACTTTTCTTTCTTCTATTCTAAATAATCTTGCGGTAGGAGTAGCCTAGGCTGCAGGTTTTCCCCTCTCAAGCCTTTGACTGTATCCTGCCAGTCCCTTCTGTCCTGCAGTGTTTCTGCAGAGGCTCACCTGACAGCCGCCTGGGGGGCCTTGTAATTAACGCCCTGTTCTTCTCTTGCTGCTGTGAGGATCCTGTCTTTCACTTTTCTGTTTGTGGGAGAAGGTAGGCTTCATGTCTTGCTGCTCTGCCATCGTGATGGCTCTCTCCAGACATTTCCTAAGCTTCTTTAATAAGGTGACAAAATGGCATAAGATTCCTGTCTTACAGAATCAAAATAAATATAAAAACATTTGAAAGGTATTCAGATCTCATTGGCTAAGAGGAAAATGTCAATCAGACCATCAAAACCCAGAATCCCTTTGTTTGTGCGTGCAAGTAAAAAAAACATCTTGTAAGAACTTTACCTGGCAACACCTGCCTGGCCTCTACTACAGAAAACATGATGTGTGTGGAACACTTTTTTTGCACAGTTTTAAAGAGCGTATTGAAGTGGTTGAGTTTTAATAGAATTTATGATTGATGGTGCCCAGCCCTCTCTCACACAAGTTTCATCTTTTAAACCCAACTGGTGTTCCCTTCCATGAAGCCTTCACTCACTTCCCAGATTTCCCTTTATTAAGTTGTTTTTGAGATGGAAGCACGTAAGATAGAAGCTGATGAATGTAACTGGTGTTTCGTGATGTCCTTTCACTTCACTTGTGGTTTCCTTAATGTTTTTGTCCATTACTCAGAGTTATTCATATACTCTTTTTTTTTTTTTCTCATTAAAAATGTTTCTGTGTAGCATCACTGATAGGCTTAAATGCATCTTCAGTAAGGGTATTACTCTGTCAGGAGGCACGTTAATAGGAGTGATGTTCATATTTGACAACCCCTCCGGCCAAGACACATCCAGAACTTGCCCCAATGGGATCCTGGACGCTGATGCGGGGCGGGCGGTCCCCTCCTTACTGGACTGTGGTGAGGATGGCCGCCAGCGGGGCTCCCTGCCGCCGCTGCTCACCATACAGCGTGGAAGCATTTCAGTACCTGACAGGTCGGCTCGGCTGTTTGGGTGGGTGCCGTTGAGGGCAGCTGTGTGTCAGCTCAGCTTAAGGGTAGGTTTTGCTCTGTGATGTGCCAAACCTGTAAAGCACATACCAGATCATACAGCCAAAAAAAAATCTGGAGTAGACTTACCACATGAGGAAGAATGCCCATTTTTTTAATTTTCGGGAAGCAGACTAGGTCTCATGTCATGTTACAGAGATCCTTAATTTCACATACCATGGTGTTTGAGAGCTATGTGGTAACATTTCAGAAACTCTTGTTCACTAGGTGTTCACAACTGGGTATGTTTCTCTTGTGAGAGCTGTCGGTGTTTTGTGATTTCACTGCATGATCACATTTGAGATGTTCCCTATCTAACTTAATAGTGGTTTAAATTACTCTTACTTTGTCTTTAGGGGGCATGATAAGCTAACAACTGTCTTTGACACTTGGTGACGCCATCAAGGGCTGTCATGTAACCTTTTGTTGTTCCTGACTGTTCTCTGTAATGGCATACACTTAGGTTATATTTTTGCAAAATCACCATAAAACTTCTTTACTGCTTTTATTACATTTGTATGTAATTTTAGAGTACCAATACAGTGAGCATCAAATATATGTTTATATATACCTGATTGATATAGCTGGAACACTGATCATTCAATTGCATAATTTGGAAAAATGCATATAAAAATTGAGCATGTTTTTGCCTCCTCCTTGAGGCCTTTTTTTACTGCTCCCATCTGTCCTGATTTTCCACACTGAGAAATGCTCTAGCATGTAGTGTGAGTACTGAATTATTTCACATTTGATTGTTTACAGTGTTCTGTTCTTGGCAATTTTCACTTGTATCTTTTCTTCATCAGTAGAGACTCTCTGAAATTGTGTACTCTCCACAACAGAATATCAAGACTAAGCACAGCGAAGTCGTGTTGCTCAGGCCCCGAGAGCCTGACAGGAAATTGCACTACATGCAGCGTTTGTGAGAACGCAGGCAGTCTAAGCCGTGCTCGTGTGCGGGTAGGAGCGCTGGCTGAGCCGGAGCGTGTCTGTGTCACTCCAGGATCTGGTGACGTTCGGGGACGTGGCCGTGGACTTCTCGCAGGAGGAGTGGGAGTGGCTGAGCCCGGCGCAGAGGAGTCTGTACCGGACGGTGATGCTGGACAACTACCGGAGCCTGGTGTCGCTGGGTGAGGAGGCCCCGGCAGGCGGTCCCTTCCCGCCCCCGGAACACTTCACCTCTCCTCAGCTCCCTCCCCTTCCCAGTGCCTGCTGGGCCTGGCTAACTCCCCTTTTTATTTCTTGTGAGCAGGAGTTTCGGTTTCCAAGCCAGATGTCATCTCATTACTGGAGCAAGGAAAGGAGCCCTGGCTGATGAAGGAGGAGGGGCCGAGGGGAGCACGCCCTGGTGAGTGAGCGAGACCCAGGGCTGGAGGGGCCCCTGCCAGGAAAAGCTCAGCTAGCCTGAAAAGTTCAGCTCCTAACTGATGCTTCCTGGGTAGTGTCAAAGGGCTCCAGGCCTGGGAAGAGACAGAGGTGTCTCTGGCCTGAGCTCAACTAAACTCCCCTCGGATTCACTCTCACACAGTACTGTCCTCTCAGATAACCTTCTCCTGTTCTCTGGATCCAAATGTCACAGCGTCGTCTTGTCTTTGCTTTTCAGTTTGACACAAGTTGCTCCAATCCTGGGTTTAAAGATCTAGATGCAGCAATGCATTTTTTTTTTTCCTTTTCATTCATTCACTCCTTTTAGACTGAAGGACTGATTCATTTATTCACTTAATCTCTTACCAAGGTTCAGGTTTCTACTTTGAGAAAATCATCCTATTAAATTTTTAGGATTATTCTGACGTTTATAAACCACCAAAGGAAAAATACTTCTGGCGGTATTTTCTTCAAATATGGGTAACTGGAAGGTGATAGCATTTAACAGAAACAAGTCAAAAGGAAGAATGGGTTTGTAGAAGAAAAGATGAATTTGACTTAGGACAGTAAGACTTATCTGATGGGAAGATTTCCTAGTAAAGAAATGCAGCATACCACTGGAGGGAAGTGGAGGCTAGGAAAAAAGTCTGATTACATGTTAGTGTGAAGGAATGAGGTCAGTAGTCATAGAGTTTGGAAGAAAAACCCTGGTCAGGGCCTCTGTGGGGAAGTAGACCTTTGATAGCTTTCTCAGTGTCCTCTGGTAAGTGGCCTCCCGATAACTTCCTCCTTGAGTTAAATTATATAAATTTAAATTTTTCTAGATATCAGGTTTATTTCCATGAACCTGAGCATAGTAATTGCTTACAGTTCTTTTTGTTTTGTACTGTAGTATAAAATATCCCATTTTATTCTATATAGCTAATTGTTTTAGTTAGGTTGCTACTCATTTATCAGTTTTGCTTATTTATTTTTAAATTCCAGCTTTTGGCTATATCTGCTAAATATAAAATATAGCTTCATCATTCTCCCCTTTTCTAATTCTCTATTTTCTGTTTTTCTCTTTACTAATTATTTATTTCCTTAGATTTACTTTGTTTCCATTTTTTGAAAACATGCTAAAAAACTGAAAAAAGCTTAAACTATTATTTCATTGTTTCTTAATTCACTAATGAAATTATTAGAGGTTTTATAGTTTCAGGTGTATTTGATATTTAGTGGTTTTATTTCCATTTCCTAGACAAGTTTTAATTCCCTACACAACAGCTGTTTAACAAAGTTTTCTGGTTTTACTATATTTTGATCAAACTGCTTTATTATATTTGATCAGGATAGCAATTACTACTAATTCTATTTTCTAATGAGTTGAGGATTTTATATGACCTAATACATAGCTTTTTTAAAAAACTATTCTATAGGTCCCAAGTTAGAGTATTTTCAGTGTAAAGAGCTTGTTACATGAGTTTTACTTCCTGTTACTAAAGTCAGCCTTTGTTTCCATCCGTAATTTCCCTTAACTTTACATACAGTAAACTGTATTAATGTAAATTGCAGTGTGATGAGTTCTGACAGCTGTATACATCCATGAAACCATCACTACAATGAAGACCATCACCCAGAAGATTGCTTGTGCCTTTTTGCAATCCATTCTTCTCCACTCTGGCTCCAAACTAACCTTTGTCGTTTTAGATTAGTTTGCATTTAAACTAAATNACGCGCACGTAGCGGAACGGCTCAGGTACGCGCACACGTAGCGGAACGGCCAAGGTACACGGGCACGTAGCGGAACGGCCCAGGTACACACGCATATTGCGGAACAGCTCAGGTACACGCGCATGTAGCGGAACGGCCAAGGTACACGGGCACGTAGCGGAACGGCCCAGGTACGCGCGCACGTAGCGGAACGGCCCAGGTACACACACATATTGCGGAACGGCTCAGGTACACGCGCATGTAGCGGAACGGCTCAGGTACACGCGCACGTAGCGGAACGGCCCAGGTACACGTGCACGTAGCGGAACGGCCCAGGTACACGCGCAGGCTCAGGTACACGCGCATGTAGCGGAACGGCTCAGGTACACGTATATACAGCTCCCCGGGCTCTACGGTGGGGCCTGTTGTGTCCATCCTATATGGCAGTTTGCAGCCGCTAGTCCCAGATTCCTGACCCTTCCCTCCCCAACTTCCCCCCTCGGCAACCACAGTGTGTTCTCTGTATGAGCCTGTTACTGTTTTTCAGATACATAGTTGCTCTAGTACCCTTTTTTAAAACTTTCCCTTCCCCATTATATTGTCTTTTTGGTATCTTTGTTGAAAATCAGTTGACCGTATATGTATGGGTTAAGTTCTGAACTGTTATTTTCCAATGATCTATATATGTCTATCCTTTCACCAGTACCACACTGTCCTGATTACTGTAGCTTTATAGTAAATTTTGACATCAGTTGAATTTGTAAAATCACTTTGACTATTTTAATAGATCATTTGCATTTCCATATAAATTCTAGAATGAAGTTGAGCATGTCTACGTAAAAATCCTTCTGGGGTTTTGTTTGGGATTGCGTTGAATCTGTGTATCAATTTAGAGAGAACTGACATCCTATTAGCATTGATTTATCATTGACATCCTATTATCATTGTTTTATCACTGACATCCTAGTATCATTGTTTTCCAATTTGTGAAATTTAGCTATTTTTTAGTCTTAGGTTCTATAAGCAGTGTTTTGTCATATCCAGTGTAGTGGCTTCTTATAAGTATTATATTTATATATCTATATAGAAAGAGATATAGTTTTATGGATATAAGATACATAATTTTTTAGATATGTTTTTTCCAGTATTGTGTGCATGTGTGATCAGTTGTGTCCGACTCTTTGCAACCCTATGGACTATACAGTCCATGAATTCTGCAGGCCATAATACTAGAGTGGGTAGGTGTTCACTTCTCCAGGGGATCTTCCCAACCCAGGTATCGAATCCAGGTCTCCTGTATTGCAGGCAGATTCTTTACCAACTGAGCTACCAGGGAAGCCATGAAAAGTAGTGTTATCTGTAAATACAACTTTATTTCTTATTGACATAGCTAGGATCTCTTGTAATGTTGAATAGCATTGGTTAAGAGCAAATATACTTGCATTGTTCTCAATCTTAAGGGGAAATGTATTCACTCTTTCACCATTAAGTTGTTACAGGTATTTCTGAGATGCCCTTTATCAGCTTGAGGAAGTTCCTTTCTATTCCTGCTTTGCTGAGAATTTTTATAATAAACAGATGTTAAATTTAGTAAAATACTTTTACACTGATTGAAACAATGTGATTTCCATCTTTAATCTGTTAATGTGGTGAATTACACTGATTTTCATATATGCAACCAACCTTGCATTCGTGGGATGAACTCCACTTGGTCAGGATTATGCTTTCATATTTTCCTGGATTTTATTTGCTATAATTTTGTATCACTTTACATTTATGTTTCTGTGCTACATTGCTTTTGTGGTCATAATAGGAAGTCTAGTTTTACTATAAATAAGGTGAGAAACCATTGGAAAGTCTTGAACAGAGTACTAGGTGATTTGATTTAGGAATGGAAAAGATAAGGTAAATAAAGGCCTATGGCAGATTAATAAAACCAACAATTTGATACAAACTTACTTCAATATGAAGGCATCTTAGCTTGAGTATCAGCTGAAAATTTACATTTAGTTGGAACATATCACAGAAAATGATACTCAGGAAGACTATTTTCAGACTGCTAAAATTTAACCATAGTTTTATATAGCCTGTGGCAATTAATAGGGTTCCCTGGTGGCTCAAGACAGTAAAGAATCCGCCTGCAATGCAGGAGACGCAGGTTCAGTCCCTGGGTCAGGAAGATCACCTGAAAAATTAAGTGGCAACCCACTCCAGTATTCTTGCCTGGAGAATCTCATGGACAGAGGAGCCTGGCGGCCTGCAAGTCCATGGGGTAGCAAAGAGTCAGACACAACTGAGTGACTCACACTTTCATGGCAATTAATGACACCTGGTGTGTTTTGGGATGTGGGAATCTAATAGATTTTTTTAGCTACATTGACATGAAGGTTTTTTTCTTATTTTTTAAAGCTAACGAACTTAACCTTGAATGCAGGCTAACCTGAGGCCAGAAANTTACTAAAATTTTTATTTGCTCTGTAGGGAAGAATATTTGACCTGTCTTCTATTGGTATAGAATGTACCAAGATAACTGCTTTACAAATAAATCTGTACTCTTCCAGCATTAGATTAATAATGTAAATGGACTTCAAATGTGTTTTATTTCCAACTTGAGTTTTTATAGGATAAGTAAATGGTAGAAGTTTTAAATTCTTTTCCCAAGGTTTTTTAACTGCTCTAGGTCATTCCTTAAGTATTTCATGTACCTTTATCAGCAAGGAATATGATTAATAGGAGAAAATTAGTGCTAGATAGCCCTAAAGTAGTTTATTCAGCAACTGTTCCTTATATGGAAGACATTTTGCTTGGTACAGAGGCCACACAACAAGGATGGGGAACCTTTATTGAGGCTTTACCAGGTAATAGGTTTATTTATACCATTTGCTACTGAACTGGTATTTTTATTCTCTCTTCGAAGCTTGATGAAGTATAACATTTTTCCTCTAAAAACTCATATTCTATTAAAGACAAGTGAAATCAGTATGGTAAATGAAATTATAAGGGTATGATTAAATTGTTGTGAAAGCAAGAGGAGAGTGCTCCTAATTCTTCCAGGAGGGCTTCCCAGAAGAGGCAATATTTGAGCCAGAGCTTGAGAAATGAAAGGGATTTTGAGAGACAAAAAAGTTAAATGATGGTGCTCTAGACACATGGAATATGAACATTTCCTGAATATTAAAAACAGTAATCGCCTGTGAGGGAAACTTGAGATTCTTGGGAAGACATAAAAGGAGGAAGTATGAGATTGAAGGTTAGATTGTGGACATTTTAAATGCTCTATTAAGTTGTTAAGTTGCTGACTCACGAACAACTCTTTGTGACTCAGTGCACTGTAACCCTCCTGGCTCCTCTGTCCATAGGATTTCCCAGGCAGTACTGGAGTGAGTTGCCATTTTCCTTCTCCAGGGGGAATCTTCTTGACACAGGGATCAAACCTGCATCTCCTACATTGGCAGGTGAATTCTCTACTGCTGAGCTACTGGGAAGCCCTCTATTAAGTTATTTGGATTTTAAGTACATGCCAAGATGAATGGGAAGGAGAGTGGAATGTCTGATTTTGGGGAAGCTTTGGAACCCTAGGGACAATGAAATGTATCTGTACTGGGGCAAAGGAGAGGCCCCAATTCAGCAATAATTCCTTTCTCTACCACCTACATTTCAGATTTGCTATTTAAATGTGACAATATTTAAATTTGAACTAATGCCAAAAAGTAATTATGAAGACTAATCTGCTATAGGGTTTTTCAAAGTTACAAATGAGTGATTTGGGAATCCCTACTCTTCCTGGCTGCAATGATAGCTCAGCTAATGGGGAACCAGAGGTAAATGTTTTCCTATAGCTTCAACATATGTAACTATACACACAGATTATTATTCTTTCTATTGTAAAAATTTTCATCTTTTTTATGATGTCTCAAAAAACTAACATTATGATTTTCCTCAATGACTTTTCATCTACTTTTTCTTAAATTGAGAATAAGTTACTTCTATAAAAATTTTTTTCTTAGTGTATGTATTTTCCTTCTATATTCGTATATCAGTGTATATCTGAGTTATGATACACAGTGCATGATGCTTTTGGTCTCGCAAAAGAACTAAGAATATTGATCAAATGGTTTCCCTTTTGTACAGATGGGGAATCTGAATCTGAGAAGGTTTGGGGGGGTTGGTGGATGCTGGAAACTGCCTTGATTTCTGACTTTGTTTTTCTGTCTTCCTATTAGTCTGTTCTACTGTTTGGTTTTCTGGCTTCTTTGAGTATTCTCCCACATGTGTATAGAAATGATTTTTTTTTTAATTTTTAGGTACATCTTTGGCTTAGGATGTTATTAATTTCAAGTAGATAAATATCAGGATATGAGTAGGTGGTTTGAATTCAGAGAGAGAAATTCATCATAATATGTTGATACACTTTTCAGTGCCAAAGTCAGGGGAACATATGGTTTACTGGGTTCTCTGAACACTGCATTTTTGTTAATATCATTTCTTTTAAAACCAGTTATTTTAGGCTTAGCAGATAAATGAAGAGTCTGACATACTTAGTTTATGCCAAATATATTCATTTTTATCATTTATCTCTCATAATTTGTTCATTCCTTGTCTTGTCTTTTTCTCTTTAATTTAACCACTTTAAAACCCATTAGTTACTCTGAAACAATAATGTTATGTGTATTAGGGAGATTTAGCCATAGTCACAAATTTATTATGAAATTAGACAACGTAATAGCTTGACACATTGGGCTATGCTTCCTAAAGAGATGTATGACGTCTGGCATGACTCAGTTGTTAAATACCATGAGCCCAATGGCCTCAAGAAATAGATATTGTCCTCTCAGTTACTAGCACTTTAGTTACTAGCACTCTGCAGGGCTTCTGCAGAGCTGGGAATTCTAGATAGCTGTGGATTAGCCTTTATTACAAATGACTTTACTTTCATTTGTAGTGGAAGTATTCCTAGACTCTCAGTGCATCTTTATTTCATGCCTTAAAATCTTGGGATCAAAACTTT